TAAGAGCAATTAAATCTGAATCTGCAGCCTATGAGACATAGAACAGACCTAACCAAACATATGAATCTGCACTGACTACAGTAGCTAGAACTAAATTTGAATAACCCAGAATTGCATCCACACGGATTACAGTGAAACTAGCTAAATTTGCCTAAGGACAAATACAGCTCCACTGGGTACAGTAGCCAGAACTAAATCTATCTATTCCTAGCACCTATCTAGGAGGGTGCTACACTTATTTTTAAATTGTCGTGTTTAGGGAAAAATATGATCGTGATGGAATGGTTTTCATGCACAGATCATGAGAAATTTATCAACCTAGCAGGGGCGGACTGACAACTCATGGGGCCCCCGGGCAATAGGTGATCATGGGGACCCTGTGTCCTCACCCACAGCAAAAAAAAAGCCTATGAAAAAGCCAATTAAAGGCACCAGGGGCTTCTCATGGGGCCCCCTACTGACATCGGGCCCTCGGGCAGTGCCCGAGTGCCCAAATGGTCAGTCCGCCCCTGCAACCTAGTATGTAATTCATCCTGCTAGCATTCATTCAGAACTAAATAATTTTTGTGTGGGCTGACACTTTAAAAAAGGAAACATTGCCTTCACACCAATATCTCACATTTAATCCTAAAACAAAAGGGTTGGATTAAGATTGACATTCTGAAACATTACATAAAATATGGATATTTCCCAGCAATACTCACCAATAATTCCTGTTGAATAACCCTGTTGCTTTAATATTTTTGCAAATGTTGTTTCATTACTGGGAAGACCACCAGATACAGCATTCCACATTAAAACCCTAAAACCACCGTGACCTGTCATGCCTAAAGACAGGAAAAATGGAACAAGGATGAGAAGCATCAATAATTAGTCAACTCTAATTTAATTTAAAAAAAAAATAGATATAGGACAAAATAGAGAGATAATACATTTTATGGGAACAGATTATTTTTTTTTCCATCCTAATAGCAAATTTACAAAAAATAAGCTAGACATATCAGAAGCTGTATTTGATTGTTTTGGTCTGGTCTGTGGGAGGCTGCATGATGGCTTGATTCCCCCTGTTCACCTGGAGGAGCTCTGGATAATAGATTCAGGAAAAGTTTAATCAGCAGCTTAATATTTATGTAGCCCTAGCCAATCCCTGGAGTCCTAACCCAGAGGATTCTTTGAAAATGCAAAAATACCCTGAAGCTGAGAGCGGCAGGGTCTTCTTCCAGAGAGAATGATCACAGCCTAGGAGGCTGTTTGCCCTCCCTGGGCACTACAGCCATGTGCTTGCCAAGAGGAGGCCCCAGATGGGAGGCTGAAGAGCCTGGAATCACTTAAGGTTACTGAGAGCTGGCTGACAGACTATTGTCTGAGGATATGGTCTGGTACTTCTGGGAGCAAGTCCCTGCAGGATACTGGTAAGAGCAACCATTTGTACAGAGGCATCAATGAGTATAGACAAGGGTGAGAGATCCTAGACACTTAGAGCTGCTGTCAATCCTCCTGTGTGTTAGAAGGTCAGCTGAGTGTTTGCTCAGAAGTTACTGTGTCCTGAAGAGCATAGTCTATCTAATTCCTTGTGAAGGGACTTTTGCTTGGACTGTCCACTGAGGAAGGCTTAACTTCCTAAATACTGTCATTGCAGAGCCTGATACCTGCTATACATGTACTGTGCTCAGTGTTCATGGAAGCAAGTTGTCTCAAGTTGTTGCTAGGTGTCACTAGAGTATCCCACCATCTCCCACCCCAATACAAGTTGAATCTTTAATAAATCATTAAAAACCCATCCCCTGGACTGTTCGTGAGCCAACAGAGTGACTATGCATGTGAGCCTGGTTGTGGGGCAGTTATGGGATCCGAAGCACCTACAATTTTGCTGGCTCCTATGGGGTAGCACTACATATTGTTAACCCAGCTCTGCACCTAATTAGTAAAGTTAATTTTACAGCTTCTCTCTCTCTCTAATCATTTGGCCAATTACACTTCCTCTTGGAATAAAAAGATATGTACATTTAATAATAATTTAAAAATGTTATGTTCAATATACTAATATATTACCTGCTCTTATAGGATATCGACCAGTTAGAAAGGCTGATCTACTTGGGGTGCATACAGAAGCTGCAGCTATATGCTGTGTAAGTTTCACACCTTCCTGTGCTAATCTGTCAATGTTAGGAGTCCTGAAAATGACAATGCTTAAGAGTTAGTAAAGTGATACATGAAAAGAAAACAATTAAAATAACAAATGTAAAATGAGCCTGTGCTTGCCCCATGCAAATATGCAGCATCTGAAATTCACTTTTGGTAGTAAGAGGTCCGGTTGTATGACAGATTAGAAGCAACTAGGGATTAAGATGCAGAGTAAATAGGCTGACTCTGAGTTCCAATACGACAACACAGTTTCTGCTGGTGATAATCTGCATTCCAGGCTGATTGGACCATGGTTGGAGATTCTCCCCATCACTGCTGATCTTGTCTTCAGGTCTCTAACACCAAGATGGACACTGCATCACTATCATTCTCAAGGGCCCCTGCAAATGGACTTTGCTGCAACATTCATCTGGAGGTATCTTTATTGATACAATATATAATTTCACCAGGACTCTTGTTGGGCTCTTTTGGAATAATACCTTTTTATACACTGCTCAAAATAATTAAAGGAACACTTTGAAAACACATCAGATCTCAATGGGGAAAAATATTATGCTGGATATCTATACTGATATGTAACTGGGTAATGTGTTAGGAACGTAAGGATGCCCCATTGTTTGATGGAAATGAAAATTATCAACCTACAGAGGACTGAATTCAAAAGACACCCCGAAAATCAAATTTAAAAAATTATGCAACAAGCTAGTCCATTTTGCTGAAATTTTATTGCAGCAACTCAAAATGCTACTCAGTAGTTTGTATGGCCCCACGTGCTTGTAGGCATGCCTGGCAATGTCAATCCTTCGGATCCATCCTGCGGGGGATCGTCGGCTTGCTTTACAACTTACCTTTTCATGGAGCGGGTCCGGTGTCACCCCGTGTGGTGCGCACCCCCCACACCTGCTTCGGGATGCCACTGATTGGATGTATGTACTATTATTAATCTTTTCTTATATAAAGCCTGTATTGTTTCCATACTGGTATGCATCTATGTACTTATGGTTTATGTTATATGCTGGTTGCATTAGTTTATCTGCTCCCAATTATTTGGGTTAGATTACTGGATAATTTTCCAGGAATTGAATCCCCAATGTTCACAGACTGCCCTGTGTGGAAGCATTGCCAACTTTATTATCAAATCAACTCTTCCACCTAGTGAAGGTACTGGTTCTCTTATTTACCTACAGGTTTAGTGCAATATCCTGTTTGGGAATGATCATTTGTAATACCCCCCCTTTCCCAAAAGAGAGCTACCCCTTATGAATTTAAAAAACACATAATATTTTTCAGAAAATAGATAGAAAATTTAATATCTGTCATGTAACATTACAATCCTAATAAATTCCCATTTAATTGTTACCTTATTGTATTATTCCCAAAGCATCCAATTTCTCCAATTCCAAGATCATCAGCCATGATCAATAAAATGTTTGGCTTGTGACTATTTATTGGATATGAACAACTAAGCAGAAAGTAAAGTAGAAATGGCAAAGTGTCCATGACTTTCCTGAAAAGGAATACAAATTGCAAGTGTTACTCCATTACTGGATTACTTAAAGTTAAAGTCTAAAGTTTTAGTCATCAATCAACCCAGAAGGTTAACTAGCAATGAGCTAAACATACCTGGGTTTTTAGGCTAATAGCCATGGGGTTGTCCAACAAATGGCATGGGGGTAGTAGACACTAAGCCCAAAAAAAAAAAAAAAGTCCACCTTTGGACACAGTAAGAATAAGGAATTTTTTCCACTGTCTTACTAATTATTGATGTGGAGCAAAGTACTTAAAATAATAATAATAATAATAATAATAATATAATAACCTGCTACTAAGTATCTCAGAGACAAGAACCCACAGGGGAAAGAAGTACTACGCAAGATCTATGCAGTGTGACAAAGCTTGTTACAATCTTTAGTAAATAGAAAATTGAGATAAATTAAACTACTAGAAAAATAATAAAATATAATAAAAAAAAGTAATTGAATAAATACCTCTACCTTTCACCATAAAATCTGTTAACATTATCAAAATAAACTAATTCCAGACAGGAATGGTTTTAAAACCATGCACAAAAAAAACAGTCAAGTAGTTTTTTTTTCAAGGTGAAGATGGTGAGCGTGTTTTCAATTAATATCTTCGATGAGCAATTCTGCCAGTACTAAAATAAAGTTCACTTCCACCATGACTTAAGATTGTGATTGTGCACTGATTAGTACCTCTTTCCTCTGTGGGTTCTTGTTCCTGGCATATTTAGTAGGGGCTAAGCACTGCCCCAAGTAATGTCTACCAAGCAAACATTTTTTTTTTAAAGATTCCGTTTGGCAAGGCACCACATACAGTATATGATCATAACTATAAACAGAAAGAATTGCTGCGCTAGAGATAAAAATCATACAAAAGCAGCTGCCAGCACAGTAAAATATAGGATACACAATATAAATCACAAATTAAAACAGAAAAGTGTCTTAGCGCTATAACAAGTGAGTAAAATATGAAAACAAAAACTATTAGAATAACATTAAAGTCCACAATATCATTTGTGAATAACTCCCCACCAGTGAGTTCATAATAGACAAAATAAAGTGCCAAAAAATAAAATAAATTTCTTCAAATTCAAAAACTATGTGCAAGGCAAACACTATGTGTGCTGCACCAACCAATCTGAGGCATACTAGAGAAATTGTGACCCTCACATGAGAAGTCAGAATGTCAGGAATGGACTGGCCAGCAATGGTGGGACTCACCTGCCTTTTGATCTGCAGTACCAGGGCTGGCCAGCGGGTGCTCCCAGCAATCAGAGACTCAACCTTTCAGCCAGCTAACACCTGGAACTGATTATATACTGGTGTATTTAAGGGATGGCCAGACCTGCAGTCTCTGCCTTGGTGTTGTGTTTGTCCTGGGCCCTGTATCTGTCCTGCATCCTGTTTCTGTTCCTTTGCTGACCCTGCCTGATCTGAACCGCTGCTGACTTCTCCTGCTCTGATCCCGGCTCGCTCCTGACCATCCCTCTGCCTGACCCTCTGTACCACGCTGCTTGCTACCTGTTCTGATCCCTGGCTTGTGACCCTGACCATCCCTCTGCCTGACCCTCTGTACTACGCTGCTAGCTACCTGCTGAACCTGGCCTGTGACCCCGACCCATCTCCGCTTGCTCCCCCTGTACCTACCTGCCCTATTGATATTGACCCGGCCTGCCTGACGACGCTTGCTTGTATGTACTGTTATCTGTGGGTGGTTGGTTTTGGGTTTGTTTTGCACTGTATTATGTTTTAGTATTGCACTGCGTTTATGTTTGTATGGTTAGTGTTAATAAATTATATTGTTTATCACATATCTGAAGTCTGCGTTTTCCCTGCGTCAGTCACACACCTCTGGTCATACCCGGGAGCCCTGACATTACACCAAGGCCAATCCTGACCAGAAGTGGCTGCACAGGGAAGCCATCTTGGCTTGTTGCTGGGAAGGATGGATCTGGATGAGGTTGAGTATTTATCTCTGCTAGTGCTTGATGACAGAAAATATGCTTATCAGACTCTGAAGGAGTATCCCCGGGATGAACTGCTAGAATTGTATACGGCTCGCTCATGTTCTAGTAGATCAGGGCACAGATTTCTCTATGGTGCAGCCATTGATTAAGGTTTGTGCTGAGTTGGTTTCATCTGGTACCCCCCGAATGCAGGGGATGAATTTTTGCCACCATTTAGTGCAGACCAGGTAGAGTCCCTGGTGTGGTTATTAGAGGATGATGTGGGTTACTTTCTGGAGCGTTATTCCACATGTTCACCACAGGTACTAAGAGATTGTATAAACGCAGTGCAGTCTTTGGTCAGACAGGCTTTTGTGTAAGCTCAGCTTTGTTCAACACATACTGCAGACATGGACAGACTTGTTGCACCCAGCCTCAGTCAGCTTACAAAGACCCAGTCCTGCTTCTAATCTATTTCCTCAAAGCTCTACTCCTGCATTCCCAACAGCTCCTCCTGCCCTGCCTATCTACCGCATGTCAGTACCCTGTTCCCACTCGCTGCACCTATCCTTGCCTTTAACCCTGTAAAAAAGCCCTCTGTAGCAACTGCTCCCTCTCCTGTTCCATCCTCCAGTTCTTCTCTGTCTCCAGCTGCTCCATTCGTTTGCAGACCTGCGTTTACTTGCAGTGCTCCAGTAGTTAAAACCAGGAAAAAAAGCGAAAATTCTTTCCAACCAATACCATCCTGCCAGTATCCAAACCGGTGAACCTGCCTTCCGTGGTTCAGCCTGAAGCCTCTACTCAGCCTGAATCCTCTACTCGGCCTGATGCCCTCTACTCGCCTGAAGCCTCTACTCGGCCTGAAGCCTCTACTCAGCCTGAAGCCTCTACTCAGCCGGACGCCGGCATTCAGCCTGATGCCTCTACCCACAGCATGATGAACTGATCCAGCCTGACGATCCTATCATGCCAGTTGACTCGGAGCCCACTGCCTTGCCAGATGACGCGGTGCTCGCTGTCGAGCCAAATGACTTGATGACTGGTGACCCGATGCCTGCTGTCCAGTCAGACGATCCAATGTCTGACCCAGTGCCCGCGGTCATACCAGTTGACTCGGAGTCCACTGCCTTGCCAGATGGCTCGGTGCCCGCTGGCGAGCCAAACGACCTGATGCCTGGTGACCCAGTGCCCGCTGTCATACCTGGTGACCCGATGCCCGCTGTCAAGCCAGACGAATCCAATGCCTGGTGACCCGGTGCCCGCTGTCGTGCCAATTGACTCAGAGCCTGCTGTCGTACCTGAGGACTTGGTGCCCACTGCCCTTGCCAGATGACACGGTGCTCGCTGGCGAGCCATATGACCTGATGCCTGTTGACCCAGTGCCCGCTGTCATACCTGGTGACCCGATGCCCGCTGTCGAGCCAGACGATCCAATGCCTGGTGACCCGGTGCCCACTGCCTTTGCCAGATGACGCCGGTGCCCGCTGGCAAGCCAAATGACCTGATGCCTTGTGACCCAGTGCCCGCTGTCATACCTGGTGACCCGATGCCCGCTGTCGAGCCAGACAATCCGGTACCTGATGACCCGGTGCCCGCTGTCGTGCCTGTTGACTCGGGAGCCCACTGCCTTGCCAGATGACACGGTGCCCGCTGTCGAGCCAAATGACCTGATGCCTGGTGACCCCAATGCCCGCTGTCCAGCCAGACGATTCAATGCCTGCCCCAGTGCCCACGGTCATACCAGTTGACTCGGAGCCCACTGCCTTGCCAGAATGACGCGGTGCCCGCTCGCGAGCACACGCGTCTATGTCGAGCCAAATGACCTGATGCCTGGTGACCCCGATGCCCGCTGTCCAGCCAGACGATCCAATGTCTGACCCAGTGCCAGCGGTCATGCCAGTTGACTCGGAGCCCCACTGTCGTGCCTGGTGACTCGGTGCCCGCCGCTTCGCCTGGGGGCCCGAGACCTGTCGCTCCGCCTGGGGGTCCGGCGCCACCCCGCTCCGCCTGGGGGTCCGAGACCCGTCGCTCCACCTGGGGGTCCGGCGCCCGCCGCTCCGCTCCGCCTGAGGGCCCGAGACCCGTCGCTCCACCTGGGGGTTCGGCGCCCCGCCGCTCCGCCTGAGGGCCCGGCGCCCGCCGCTTCCGCCTGGGGGCCCGATGCCTGTCGCCCCGCCTGGGGGCCCGACGCCTGTTCGCCCCGCCTGGGGGCCCGACGCCTGTCGCCCCGCCTGGGGGCCCGACGCCTGTCGCCCCGCCTGGGGGCCCGATGCCTTTCGCCCCTCCTGGAGGCCCGATGCCTGTCGCCCCGCCTGTGGGGGCCCGGTGCCTGTCCGCCCCGCCTGGGGGCCCGGTGCCTGTCGCCCCGCCTGGGGGCCCGGTGCCTGTCGCCCCCGCCTGGGGGCGCCGGTGCCCTGCTGCTCCGCCTGGTGGCTCGGTGCCTGCTGCTCCGCCTGGTGGCTCGGTGCCTGCTCCTGCTCCGCCTGGTAATCCGATGTGCCTCTGCCTCCCGGAGTCCAGCCCGATGTGCCTCTGCCCGGAGTCCCTGCCGATGTTGCCTCTGCCCGGAGTCCTGCCCGATGTGCCTCTGCCCGGAGTCCCCAGCCCGATGTGCCTCTGCCCGATGTGCCTCTGCCCGATGTGCCTCTGGCCGGAGTCCTGACACGATGTGCCTCTGGCTGCCCGAGTCCTGCCCGATGTGCCTCTGCCCGGAGTCCCTGCCACGATGTTGCCTCTGCCCGGAGTCCAGCCCGGGGTGTGCCTCTGCCCGGTGTGCCTCTCTGCCCGATGTGCCTCTGCCCCGGTGTGCCGCTGCCCGGAGTCCTGCTCGGTGTGCCAGTCTTTGATATCCCATTCCAGTTACCAGACCCGGGCGGTGGAACATTTTGCCCAGCTAGAAACTGTTGGAGCGTCCTGAGGCCTGCTCCTTGAGGGGGGGGTACTGTCAGAATGGGACTGGCCAGCAATGGATTGGGACTCACCTGACTTTTGATCTGCAGTACCAGGGCTGGCCAGCGGGTGCTCCCAGCAATCAGAGACTCAACCTTTCAGCCAGCTAACACCTGGAACTGATTATACTGGTGTATTTAAGGATGGCCAGACCCTGCAGACTCCTGCCCTTGGTGTTGTGTTTGTCCTGAGGCCCTGTATCTGTCCTGCCATCCTGTTTCTGTTCCTTATTGCTGACCCTGCCTGATCTGAACCGCTGCTGACTTCTCCTGCTCTGATCCCGGCTCGCTCCTGACCATCCCTCTGCCTGACCCCTCTGTACCACGGCTGCTCTGCTACCTGTTCTGATCCCTGGCTTGTGACCCTCGACCATCCCTCTGCCTGACCCTCTGTACTACGCTGCTAGCTAACCTGCTGAACCTGGCCTGTGACCCCGACTACCATCTCCGCTTGCTCCCCCTGTACCTACCTGCCCTATTGATATTGACCCCGGCCTAGCCTGGCGATGCTTGCTTGTATGTACTGTTATCCTGTGGGTGGTTGGTTTGGTTTGTTTTGCACTGTATTATGTTTTAGTATTGCACTGCGTTTATGTTTGTATGCGTTAGTGTTAATAAATTATATTGTTTATCACATATCTGAAGTCTGCGTTTCCCCTGCGTCATCACACACACCTCTGGTCACACCTGGGAGCCCTGGCACAGAAGCTCTCTTGTTGACTTGATTAAAAAAAGGACTTGACTTGTCAGGATCACGATCCCTTGGTACTGTTCTCCTTGCCCTCTCTGGGTCAGAAAGAACGGGCACCCTTTTTCATTGGCGCATCAAGTGATTCTTTATTGACGCACTCTCAGGGCTACCTGCCAACACATAGAATTTTTTTTAAACGAACATGACTTTCACGGAAAACGCGAGATTGGTTCTCCCTGGCAGTGCCCCTATGGGAGGCCCCAT